AATAAACTCTCTAAACCATTTTAGAGTTTTCAAAGTGATAGTGGTGATCAAAGTGATCTGGAGGGTTTCTCTGCAGCCTCTGTGCTTTTGAAGGTTGCTTTCCTTTTCCTCTTGCCTGTGATACCCTACAGAGAGACTGTCCCGTGAAGCCTCTGCATCCAACCTCCACAGGTAAGCACCTTGTCTTCCAGCCTTGTCTGTGACAGTCGCTTACTAGGCCCTCAAATTGATCCTTTTTCTGACAAAAGGCCTCCTTCATCTGCTCTTCCCATGCCACCAGTCACACTTACCATGATGATGATCATAGACATTATCCTGTATCATGTCAACATAACATAATATTAGTTACTGACGTTAAAATATTTTTCTTCTTTATTTTCCTGAGGATCACTCACAATGTTGCTGTAGCCCAACAGTGTTTTTTTTTTTTGCATTGTCATGTTTAGTCTTTCCTTTACTTATTATTTTTGGGGAACCTATAGCAACACCTAATTAGCTGTTTGGGGAATGAACCCCTCACCATAGTCCTGTCAGGACTCAATACAAGTGGTTGACTGGCAGTGGACAAATGACCCTATGAAAAACTGTTACGCTACCGTACGTGCGTACCGTATAAATAGCGGGGTCCTCACTGCTCAGCATCCGACAACCCCTTCAGCAGACGGCACCATCGTAGAGCCCTCTACTGGACTCTATGGCTAAAGTACGTGGAGCCCGATGACTGTCCACCCAGCCTCCACAAGCCACAGCTCACCTCACCAACACAAGCCACAGGCCCTCCATCCTAAGTGATGGGGCAGTGGGCCACCCCACAGAAGGTCACTAGACCGCTAGGGGTTTGGCATGACCAAGAGGGATCTGATTCAGATAGATCCAAACACCTGAACTGTCCTGACCCCTTACAGGGATGTCTGACAAAGAAGAAGCCCGACACATCCAAGAGGTAAAAACACACAAACGGACATGGTGAAGACCACGACGCCTTTGTACAAATCTCCTCGACGCTCGAGGGCCATTGACGCAGCCACACCCTGTCTGGAGTGAGCCCGGACCACCGAGGTTGGGTCTTTCTCAACCCGCGCGTAGGCTTACCGATCGCACCGTCACCAAAGCAAACGAGCAGTTGATCACTGTGTCGAATGGGGGCCATGCGCTCCATATAATGCATTAGGGCGCACACAGGACACAACAGATGCAGCCTCGCCTACCTAGGCCCAGCGCGGGGCAGGGGGTGGAAGGCATCCAAATGTATCGTCCTTGACCTGAACGAGCTCCACATGTTCTTAGGAACAAAGGAGAGGTTCGATCTTAACACCGCTGCACTGTGGTCCCCACGAAGCAGCATGCAGCTGGGATGAACCGACAGGGCACACAGCTCCCTCACCCTCTTGGCAGAGGTGAGAGCTAGTAACAAGGCTGTCTTGAGAGATAGCAACGCCACTGCTTCTCACGCTTTTATTTTGTAGGCAAAACCCCTAAAGAGGAAGTGATTATGTGAGTAACTGTTGCTGCCATGACTGAGATCTATTCCAACACCACTATCTAAAACTAATGTAATCTAATACACGAGCCTGCAATAAATCCTTCCTTCCTTTGTGCAATCCTGTTTTCATCTTTAGCTAGACACTGAGATTTCCTTGCATTCTGGAAACATATATACAGTAAGTGCAGTTGCTAGCGTGTAAACAACTAGAATGGATAATGTGCAGAACTGCAACATATCATAAAGCAGGTAAGTTAATAAGGACCAAGCAAACATTAAACCCTGTTGACAGAGAATATCTAAACTGCAGATTACACGACTTCTAAAATCATTATCAATATTGTTATATTTACCACAGTAACAACAAATGAAAAATCTTCATCCTTCCTGTATAATCCTGTATCATATTTACCGAAGACAAAGTGTGCACACAAGAAGAACAATACATCATGACAATACTGAAGCTCCATTACAGTTAAAGAATACTGTCACCAGCCCTGTGTCTTTCCTGTTGGGCTCATGTGTTCTTGCATTGCATTGAAATGGGTTGTCTTATCACATGCCTTTGGTGTGGGAGACCCAGGTTTAATTCCCACTGCGACACCAATCTGTCCCTGAGCAAGACACCTAAACCCTAGTTGCTCCAGAGGTGTGCGACCTCTGCCATATATGTTTAGCAATTGTAAGCCGCTTTGGATAAAAGCGTCCGAAAAATGAGTAACTGTAACCAACGCTGAGTCTCACTGGGTGTTTCCATATAGAACTTTTTGTATGTCACAAACCAAAATACAGTCAAAGTCAAATGTTCTGTGTAATAAATGTTTTCCTCCATAAGTCTTTGCACTGTTGATGATACAGGTACACACTGTATCCTGTATACAGGCCAGCACATCAGTCAGTACCTGCAAAAGGTTTCCTGCCAGACCGACAAACCACAGAGACATACCATAAGGACAACGAAGGACTCCTCACCAGAAGTACAGGTTTGTAGCTTCATATATTAAGACTACTTTTTTACGTTTTAGCAATTAGTTTGAACAATTAGCTATTGACCACAAGTAAATACTGCTGTCTTTCATATGTTAGCATTTAGTTGGTATTTATGAATAAACTCTCTAAACCATTTTAGAGTTTTCAAAGTGATAGTGGTGATCAAAGTGATCTGGAGGGTTTCTCTGCAGCCTCTGTGCTTTTGAAGGTTGCTTTCCTTTTCCTCTTGCCTGTGATACCCTACAGAGAGACTGTCCCGTGAAGCCTCTGCATCCAACCTCCACAGGTAAGCACCTTGTCTTCCAGCCTTGTCTGTGACAGTCGCTTACTAGGCCCTCAAATTGATCCTTTTTCTGACAAAAGGCCTCCTTCATCTGCTCTTCCCATGCCACCAGTCACACTTACCATGATGATGATCATAGACATTATCCTGTATCATGTCAACATAACATAATATTAGTTACTGACGTTAAAATATTTTTCTTCTTTATTTTCCTGAGGATCACTCACAATGTTGCTGTAGCCCAACAGTGTTTTTTTTTTTTGCATTGTCATGTTTAGTCTTTCCTTTACTTATTATTTTTGGGGAACCTATAGCAACACCTAATTAGCTGTTTGGGGAATGAACCCCTCACCATAGTCCTGTCAGGACTCAATACAAGTGGTTGACTGGCAGTGGACAAATGACCCTATGAAAAACTGTTACGCTACCGTACGTGCGTACCGTATAAATAGCGGGGTCCTCACTGCTCAGCATCCGACAACCCCTTCAGCAGACGGCACCATCGTAGAGCCCTCTACTGGACTCTATGGCTAAAGTACGTGGAGCCCGATGACTGTCCACCCAGCCTCCACAAGCCACAGCTCACCTCACCAACACAAGCCACAGGCCCTCCATCCTAAGTGATGGGGCAGTGGGCCACCCCACAGAAGGTCACTAGACCGCTAGGGGTTTGGCATGACCAAGAGGGATCTGATTCAGATAGATCCAAACACCTGAACTGTCCTGACCCCTTACAGGGATGTCTGACAAAGAAGAAGCCCGACACATCCAAGAGGTAAAAACACACAAACGGACATGGTGAAGACCACGACGCCTTTGTACAAATCTCCTCGACGCTCGAGGGCCATTGACGCAGCCACACCCTGTCTGGAGTGAGCCCGGACCACCGAGGTTGGGTCTTTCTCAACCCGCGCGTAGGCTTACCGATCGCACCGTCACCAAAGCAAACGAGCAGTTGATCACTGTGTCGAATGGGGGCCATGCGCTCCATATAATGCATTAGGGCGCACACAGGACACAACAGATGCAGCCTCGCCTACCTAGGCCCAGCGCGGGGCAGGGGGTGGAAGGCATCCAAATGTATCGTCCTTGACCTGAACGAGCTCCACATGTTCTTAGGAACAAAGGAGAGGTTCGATCTTAACACCGCTGCACTGTGGTCCCCACGAAGCAGCATGCAGCTGGGATGAACCGACAGGGCACACAGCTCCCTCACCCTCTTGGCAGAGGTGAGAGCTAGTAACAAGGCTGTCTTGAGAGATAGCAACGCCACTGCTTCTCACGCTTTTATTTTGTAGGCAAAACCCCTAAAGAGGAAGTGATTATGTGAGTAACTGTTGCTGCCATGACTGAGATCTATTCCAACACCACTATCAAAGTATTTATTTATTTATATTTTTTTGACACTATCAAAGCACCATAATCTGGCAGCGGGGCAGATATTAATGTTGGCGGATGGTTTTGGCATGGTCCATCATCACAGAGAGAATGAATGTGTTTCCCTTATCAATGTTTGTATAAACTTTATCTAATGTGTGGTGTTTAATGGACTGTGGTGCAGAAACAGTGACAGTGTTTCACACTCTTTACTTAAATTTTCCATGTTATCTGTCAGTGGCCAAGTCACAGTAATATATGGTTTACTGAATAATTAAATAGATATAATTTCTTTAACATACCTAAAGAAACCAAATTTCTTGACTGGCCACTCTCTCCACTAGATGCCACTAAATCTTACACACTGAACCTTTAAATAAAATGCAACCGTGCAATGATATAGGAGAGGATTCTACTGGTTGGTAAGGATAGTATGTATTCTAAAAACCCATGTTTTTTTGATATTACCTTTATAAGTACCAAAACTTTATATAAGTGCAATATCAAATCAGCAGAGGGGGCCTTTAATAAAACATTTAATTTATATAATCCGACGTATTTTTACCTACAGTATGGACCAAATGTATTAAAGCCTTTTCTTTTAGGCTATGTACCAGAGCTGTAAAAAAACATTTTTGTTTAAGATATTATGTTTAAACTTCATGAGTCGTATCTAATGACAGTCTGAAGGAGTGAGGAAGAGCTGTGTTTGAGATGTTTTGACCATGGACAGATAGCTAGTGGTACATACAACAAAAATACTTAAATTCACAAAAAATATTGCAACACAAATAAGAGTCAGAAATATTAGCTATTGGACTAAACTACCATTAATAATATTTCAGTGTAATGAAACAGAACACGAGGCAATGCTACGTAAATTTTATTTACAGTGAGGTGGAAATTGAACAGACCAGAGACAAAAGAAATTCAAATCAATCACTCAATCAAAGGCTTATTAAATCATCTTACCACAAACAGCTTACCACAGTGCACTTGACTAGCATGGTATGAGATGGTGAACCACTACATGAGTGTATTTGTGGGGTGCTGATGGGGCAATGGATAAAACACATGTTTGGTGTGAGAGACCTGGGTTCAATCCCCTACTGTGACCCATCCACCATTGTGTCTCTGAGCAAGACAATTTATTTTATTTGTAGAGTATAAGTTTATAGAGACAGTGCACATTGATAAACATTTCTGTAAATGTGCCAGTTTAGCCAGCTAGGCTAATGTTCGACTGTAGTCCCTGGTAACCCCTAGTTGCTCCAGAGGCAGTCGACCTCAGACATGTATAGCAATTGTAAGTCGCTTTGGATAAAAGTATCAGCTAAATGTAAAATGCAAATGTATTTTTCGGGTGTCCAAATACTTTTGGCTATATGGTGTACTTGGGATTTTGATAGTTTCATTGGTTTCTTGATTACTTCATTTTATCATAAACTGAAAACATTCTGCTGAATGCCTTTTACTCGAAGCACATACAGTGCGATGTTTTGTTGTTTAAATGCCAGGATCTGCAAAATAAGAAATAAAACATTGACTTTAGACAGATGGATTAAGTTTCTGAGAGCATAAACCTGTTCTGTTGCTGCAGAATGACATTTTATAATCCACCATTTTACACACTGAGCATTAAAGTTCATCCTTGACCAGGAAATAGCAGTTTGACAAACAATGTTAACTCAAGGTCTACTTACTAACTTTTTCTGGAGCTTTTAATCACTAGGATAAAGACTAGTTAGCAGTGTTAAGGCCGATTTATACTCCTGCGTAGGGTCTACGTGCGTACCTACGCCGTAGGCTACGCACCTAACCATGCATTTATACTTGTGCGTAGGTGTGTCCGTCATTCTGAAATTACACCACCAAACGCTGTGTTGACTTTTGCCGGCCGAGCAGGCTAACTTCCAGTTTAGCCCTCCGCTAATGTAAATGGGGGTAAAATTGACCAAATGGATCACATTCTGATAGCGAAACGAGTCATTTCGCTCGGGTTGTGACGGTCAAATATATTGATTCACTGTGTTACAGCCGCCGTTTTGGCTGCTACTAAAAGTTACTTCAAACCACGGGGTACTTCCGGTTGGCTTGGAGGCATTGGGAGGCTACCCAGCCAACCAATCACAGAACTTACGGTCCGCGTCAACTCGACGTGTAGTTACATTTTGGAGGAGGTGCACGTCTTTGACGCAGAAGTATAAATTAGCCTTTAGGAGTAACGCGTTACAAAAGTAATACAATTATATTAATCTATTGCTTTTTGTTGTAACGCAGTAATATAAAAAACGGGTAATATATACCCGTTACAATCTCAGTAATGTGCGTTACAACGCATTTTAACCTGAAATTAAGTGATGTTTTGTTTTTTTAATAACACCAAGAAACATTTCGGCACCAGAAAAACAAATCTACGATTAAAAGACTGGTCGAGATTGTAGGCAGGGTGCAAACTACGGGGGAGCTTGGCTCCTCTTAACGAGACGGTAGCTCCCCTGATGGATCATATCTTAATAGATTTCTATAGGCTGTGTGTTTGTGCTTTAATGAATTACTTTCATGATCAGAGAGGCTGCTGTCAGTTTGGTGTGGACATACTGTATCTCGTCACAATCCCTTTTTCTTCATATTGCATATTCAATTATATTTTGCTTTTCAGGACCACAGATCAGCTTCAGTAGAGTGAAACAGCTACTTACATTGACATGTGTAAGCCACTTCCAGGTACTTATAAGTGGTGCCACAGGGGTCTCCAAACACTGAGTTGACTGCTCTGATAGTACAGCTGTTTTTCCCGTTACAGCTGTGGAGGCAGAGTGATGTGAGTGAATACAGGTTTGAATTTGCACAGAAGACTGGGAAAAATGGATTTTACATGAGCTTTTATTAATTAACGTGGATGATATTAATCCCCATTGTTTAACAAGAATACTGGGCAGCTGTACCTTTCAGCAACTTTGCTTGTGGGGAGTGAGCACACATTTAGAACATCAGAGACAGGTCGTCGGTAAGAGCATGTGGTGGGGTCACGACGTCCGTAATCAGCACTATAGACAAGTATAACCTGCCCTTCATCTGACAAAAACAAAAGGTAAAATATTCAGATGAATGCTGAAATGCATAGAAAATATAACTTTATCACATTAATCCACCAAAAACAAAAGAGAAAGTGTGATCTTACCACACTGCAGGCTTGCCAGAGACCTTTCACATGTTATGCTGAAGACTGTCAAAGTAAAGATAAATAACATTAGACATGTTACACTGTTGCTTCACTTTTAGTTACGTGCACAAAAGTCACTGACATGCTGGGAGACAGGTGTAGGTGGTGTCCAGATATTTGTAGATGCCAATGCAGGGATCAGAAGCACGGAAGGTGTTTGTGTTTAGTTCACACACCCTCTTGCCATTACATCTGCAGGGAAAAGATAAAGAGCTCGTTTCCAGGTTTAGTGAATCACAAATCTCTCTGAAGAGACTACAGTATGAGAAGCAATTTACATCACGCTTTGTATTGCAGACGTGTGAAGGAATTGTAACATAACTTGTGGGGTACAGTTTGTCAGAAGTGATGTCTTTCAACTGTGTTACACTCTAAAGTATAAATGTTTAACACTAATGGTTGTAGATTGGATTTGCTGTAATTTACAATGGGAGAGACAGGTCATCACTATCTAAATCTCACAAAGTATGAAGAGCTCGTTTCCAGGTTTAGCGCTAAGTTGTTCCACAGCAGCTATACTGACAAGGCTGCCAGATGTGTCGGCCCGCTTTGTGAGTACAGGCATCAGCTGATGCCTATTATCTTAAAATGCCAGATATCAGTGGGCCGGTCAGTCACAAAGACTAAGGAGCTACAGTCACTCAAGTGGCACTATGAGGCTCTAAGAAAGGTTCAGTGTGGAATATTTAGAAGGAACTACTGACAGAAATACAATATAATATACTTAAGTAATTTCTGTCTACATACACCGTGGGTCCTCTTACATGGAAGTCGCCATGTTGGATCAGCTGCTCTACAGAGCGCATTTCGACACTATGTTGAAAACAAAAATTACAAATAAAATGTATTACATACGAAGAAGAAGAAAAAGAAGTAGTAGTAGTTGTCTGGTTTGTTCAAAGTAAAAAGAGAAGTGAAAGTTGGACCAATGGAAGACCACAGGTATTATTTAGCACAAGAGACGACAGATCGTGTTGGGAAACTTCTCTTACGCTCTTGCAAAGGGAGGGATGAGCAGTGAGTGAGCAGTTGGTTGCAATCCTGTTGCTATTTGCTGTAAGATGCGGACCCCACTAGATGCCACTAAAATTTACACACCAAACCTTTAAAGCATTATGTGAATGCTAATGTCAACATGCTAACATGCTGATAATGTTTGCATGCCGATTCTTGGAAGCATTTTCTGACACACTGATGGGAATGTCAAAGACCAAAGATTGGACAAACTGAAATTTTGACGTTATGATGGTGCTAGAAGAAAAGGTAGGAAATCAGTTAGTTATTACGATTCATCCTGGGGACGTATCAGTATCAAATCCCATAGAAATCCATCCAATAGCTGCTAGATATTTCCCTAAAGCAAAAACAGTCAACCTCATGGAGTCTTTCGGATTAATCCTCTGGTGACCATAACTGTATGCATAACATTTGGTGCCAATCATCTAAGTTGAGTTATTTAATGCCATTTATGAAAACGTTGACCTGCTGGTGCCGCTAGAAGTGTACCTTTTCCTCATGATGTCCAAGGTGTCCGGATGAGAACACTGTGTATTGGCAAGCTGCTGTGGAGGTCTGCCCTCACTGCAGGTCGTTTTGTCTGCTCGCCCATACAGAGCTGTCTGCACAAAGATCACTCCACTCTCTGTTATACAACACAGAGGGAAACAAGGAGAGAGGGACGGTGTAATGGAGGAAAACTCACAGCCAAAAAAAAAACAACGTATGTACTGCTGTTTGTACTTGTAGTTGTTTGAGTTCAGTCATACCACAGCTCAGGCGGTGGACGTTGAGGTCGTCATCACAGGTGATCACTCTCTCTGTGAATGAGGTGGTCGGAAAGTTGGGGGAAACCTGTTGGGCTCCAGAATGTCCTGGAAAGAAAGGTTTGTGCTATAATTTGTGCATAATGGAACAAATACACGGTTGTTGTGGAATAACAACCAAAAAGACCAAATTAAGCTTCCTATGAACATTCAGTTAGAAACAGTAAAACAGTTTTGGGATGAATAAAATAGCAGAGAAAAGGTCCGGTTACTCCAGAAAGTGGCAAAATTAAAATCATCACTTTATTCCCTCGATACAATGTGGCTTTAGAAGTTTGGCAGATGTTGTTTAACTTTGTTAAAATAACAAAGGATTCGATATCTAATAGCAGCAACTGCAGTGGAGCTGATTTGTCTTAAATTATGGAAAGTAAACAGCAGAAACACGCTTCATGTTACACTTATGAATGAAGATGATAAGAGATTACATTGAGCAAGAGAAGTTGGTGGAACAAAGGCTGGACAGGACGTGATGTCAAGACTTCAGCTTTCTATAAGTTAACACTGTTTAATAACACTAAGTCTGTTTGATGGTATTCGTAACACTATAATATCAGTCCTGTTTGTGTGTTTCTGTCCTTAGCAGAGGAGCAGGATGAGCATGTGACAGAGGCAGAAAGAAGAAGGATTAGTGAAGAGAATGAAGGAGAAGAAAACAAAATGAAAATGAAAATGAAGGTTGTTTGTGAGAAGAAAGTGAGAAGGTAGTTGTAAAAAAAAATTAAGCTTGAGAATCATGGATCATTATGGAAGTATAATCTAAACTTGTCATACAAAATTCAAACATCCATTTACCTGCTCTCATAAGCAAACACGTTGCTGCCAACACTGGAAAAGAAAAACTTTTTAAAAGTTTATTATTTCAGTCTTGTAACTTTTGTGTAAATCCTGTTTAACAATGTTCTGGGAGTTAATGACAACACCATAAATCACAGAAATCTTTCACAGGTCAATTGAACGTTACATCTTTGAATAACAATTAATACCTGCAGAGAGATATATTTTTAGACAATTTGACATCAGGTTCCCTTTACAAAGGGTTTGTTTGATACTAAGGGCTTTATTAATAGTTAATTAATAATTTACTAATTATTTTATAAACTATACATCATATTATTGATATTTGTGGTGTTCATTCTTGTGACATTTGTTGAAACTTGATTTTATTAAATTACTTGTAAGAAACCTTTGACAGTTGAACTCATGTTAACAAATGTATTAACATTTGTAAAAGATGACTTATGCCTGTTATCCTTTATTAATCATTTCATGTTCTGCAGAATGTATTACATATTAACTCTTGACACTTGAATGAATGAATCATTGTGCTTATAAGTTTATACAAAATGTCAGTTAAAATTTTAGTTTGGGGTCTGTTCTATTAAAATAGAATAAAAAGTTAAGAAATGTATGTCAAATTTTAAAAAACATACAATGCAGACATTTGTTATTAGCAGATATTGGCAATTGTAACTTTTTTATTATCTTTTTATTATCTCTTACTCTAATATCAAAGCCTGAGAATATTTGCTTTTACTCCAATTAAGTATAATAGAGAGTTTTCAGCAAGTTTTCAGCAAGAAAACAAAAATCTTTTTTAATGATTTAATACAAATCCACATAATTATAATTTCTTCAGTCTCATTAAGGGAATTACAACTTAATCTCATTATGAAGCCCTGTGCTGTATAAAGATAAACAGATCTACCTTGTAGTTTGTTGTATACTTACACAGTGTGATGCTGAGTCTGGAGTGGAGCATTCTGTCAGAAGATCTGGATTGAGTTAAAGCGGTGAAGTCAATCAATGATCAAAGTCAATGATGGTGGTGGAACAGAAACTGGCTATTTATAGTGTTGGGGTATAAAAACTGCTTCTCCTTGTGCAAACAAGTCACCAATGACAAAGTCGGATGACTTCCTTGTCAGTTGCAACAGACCAATGGACAAAACGTTAATAATTACAGATAATCAAATTACATTAATGTGAAAAATGAATCATCTCAGAACAAAAGACTTCTTACTTTAATATTTGTTTAATAAAGTTCCTGAGAACAAACAAGGGAGGGAACTGAGGTTTCATGTTTCAGATCTCTGTTTGGTTATATGAACCCATGCAGACAGCAGGGTCTCCATCTTAGTTTAACATTTTTGTGTCATCGAGTTGTTTGTAGAGCACTATATAGTGAGTTTTTATAAAAATATTGAAAATAGTGAGAAATGCCGTCACACATTACCCAGAGCTCCATTTTATTTCCATTTTATGCTTCTTTATACTTCTACTCCACTACATTTCAAAGGTAAAATTTTACTCTAGTAGATCAATTTAAAATCTATCATCGATGAATATATCTACATTTACTCAATTATTGAACTTTTTATTTTATGCTATTTTACTTCTACTCCTACTGTACATATTTTAGAATAAGTGTAGTTTTTATTCCAATACATTTTTTTAAAGCTTTAGTTGTTAGTTCAGATTATGATTTTGCATATAAGTATATGAGTATATATTTTAGTAAATATTTATACCTCGAAATGGCCTGCTAAATTAACGATGTTTTTATAAACCAAACAATCAGTGAGTTAATGGAGAAACTAATCAGCAGAGTAATCCATAATGAAAATAATCATTACTTCCAATCTGATACAAAATAGTTCAAAAGAGCTGCAGCTCAACAAGTGCTGCAGTAAAATCCTGCTTTTACATGAATGCATAAGGGATAATAATGTAATAATAAGAATGATGATGATGAATAAATATAATAGTACAACAGCCACAGGGGACATTTTACTGCTTTTAATACTTTAAGTACATTTTCCTGATTAAACTCATATACTTTTTACTAAAGTAAAATTTCCAATTGCAGATTGAGTATTTTTCCACTGCGCTTAAGTAAAGGATCTAAATACATCCTCCACCACTGAACAGATGGTTACAGGTGAAATTCGGGGGGGGAGTTTGAACACTAAAACCCCAATACATGAAAAATTAAAATTCAACGCTAAAACTCTTATTAGACAATAACCGTGTTGTATGTAACTGTGTAAATCACGATCTGTTACTATTAATTTTGTTAATTTTCATCAGTGCGGTGCCTATCACATCTGTCTGTGACAGATATCTCCTTCTCCGTGGGTGCCTGCAGCAACACTCGCAACTGCAACTTCTACTATCTTCATCTACACAAAAAAAACAAAAAGGAGGATCGAGCACTCACGCTTTGTTTGTGACTATAATAACGCAGTTGTTTCCACGATAAGGGCTTTTTAATGTTTTATTTAGCTAATTTTCTAAAACAAACAGCACAGGATCTTAACTCATAATTCCGAATTTTTCGGGACAGGTCACCCACAACATGCTTCACAGTAGTCATTTTAATTAACTTTCTTGGCATTAATGTTGAGGTAAGCAATGTTGCCAAAGCAGAAATTCACATAAAATAAATATATTTAAATAATAAACAATAAAATGACATTTTTTAAACAAAAGAAAGAGAAAAAACTAAATAAATAAACTAAAAACAATATATATCTATTAAAAACACCTCCACCGCACATGTCTTGCTATTTGACAAGCAGTATCAATTTTCCAAGGAACAGTTATTAAAATAATAATAATGATAATATTATAGTAAGTTTATACAAACAACAACAATTACTTCATTTAATGTTAGTTAGTCTAGTCTGAGTTTCCTCTGGTTATCAGCTGGTGGCATTATGAGGAGATAAATGCTGCTGCAATGATTTGACATTTGCACATTTCTCGTAGTAAGTAGGGCAATTTCTGTGTGTCTGATAGATTTTTTCTGTTATAAGGTTTTATATTTAGGACGTGAGGAGAGAAAAGTGCTGCAGAGGAGCGTCCTCTTCATCATCCCCGCGTCACGTGACCCCACTCGACGTCACCTTGCTGTCAGGGATTCTAAAGATGGCGACGGAAGGGACGATGCACCTCCACCGCATCTCTGCGTCTTTGGCCGTTTTCCTCGGTTTATTAAGCTTATTAAACACGGGGAATTGCGATGAACAGGTGCCGCTTATTCTGTGGACAAGCGAGGGGTGAGTAATGTTGAGTTTGGTTTTTTTTTCCCCTTATAATACAGGCTGCTCCGCCGGTCAGTGGGTGTTTGACGCTCTTCTTCTCTGACGTTAGTAGCTTCGGTTAACGGTTAACGTTAGCTAACGTTAGCTCTGTGTTGGTTGGTGTTATTAAGATGTGAGTTAACCTCAATAGTTCTCTGCTATGTTATGAATAAAATGCAAAATAGACTGCGGTTGAGTAATTAAATTAAGGAAGCGTAACATGAGAATTTCCTGTAATCCTAATGAATGTCAGGTGCAATCACCTGGACTCACGGGTAAGCAGTTATGATTGGTCGGTGACATTTTACTGGAGTGTGTTTATTTAAAATCACTAAACGTGTCCACATGACACCTGCCTGGAAAATCTACATTGGATAATTTGTGCTGTCATCCTTTTTCAACAGCGTTTGTATTTGTGTTGTGGCTTTTGTATCTTAGGCCTGAAACCTACGGGCCACCGTACATTTCCTCAAGCACTGTGCTCAAGTACATTTTTAAGGTTCTTGTCTTGTAATTTACTTTTACCCCTCTACATTTCAGAGGGAATTGTATTGTATTTTTTGTGTGTGCCTCTCATGCATTACCATGGAGTCACAGAGCTAAGCATCCAAGTTTACTGAAGGTATTTTCATCTGGATGGAAAAAATATTCTGTTTTCTGCACGATAAATCCCATTTTTGTGTTTCCTTCTCAAGATGTGTCTGTATTTCCTAACCAGGTAGCCAGAAATCATATTATGTCCCTGCTGTTTTTGTACAATGCAAGCATAAACATATAATATATATATATATATATATATATATACAATAAGTACAGTAATTGTGTAAATGTACTTACGGAGTAAAAAGTAAAAAGTTCAATTTTACCTTTTGTGGAGTAGAAGTATAAAGTAGCATAAAATGGAAATACACACATGTACTTACATTGCACCACTGGTAGTAGGAGGGATATTTTAATGAATTAGAACATAAAAACCTTGTTGTCTAAAACACCTGTATCCAGTGGTGGAAAGTAACAAAGTACATTTAACCCAGTGAGTTGAGTGTAATGGTTATACATGAGAGGCACAGACTGGAGCTAACAGAACACACATTGTTGTTCACTTTGTGTGTATTTTAGTCAGTGTTGGGAAGTAACTCTGTACATTTACTCAAGTAATGTATGCAAGTATAATTTTAAGGTTATTGTCTTTAAATTTATGTAAGTATTTCCGTTTTATGCTACTTTATATTTTTTTCTCCACTATATTCGGAGCTGATAAAACATATGATCATTTTATATATGATGCCCAACAAAACAGAAAGGAAAGGAATCTGTAAATAAAAAATCACTCCACTTTGAACAGCTACACTTTAAAATTCTGCATAAAGGATTATTTTTCTTATGCTACTGTAAGTAAGTTTTGCTGATAACACCTTGTGCTCTTATCTAAGTAAGATCTTGAAGGCATGTCCTGGACATTTAGGGTTTTTAGATTATTCTTTGGCTTTATTTGCTTCAGTGTATGACCTGAACACTTCTTCTGCCACTGCTTTGAATCTCCACCAGGATCTCCCTACCAAGCCAGTCCCCTCCTACAGCCGGTCACATCGTCGAGCAGCAGCAGCTGGCCTCTTACCTGGAGAAAGCTGTGAACGTCGGCCCAAGAAATGTAGTGCTGTTCCTTCAGGACAAGGTACACACATTTTAAATGCTCTATTCTTATTGTTACATTACAGGTATACAGGATTTAAATGTTGGTAAATGTGGTTAAAACACTTCATGTGCCACACAGTCAGGCTTCCTGTTACAGGTTAGATGGAACAAAATCTCATTCAGAAGGCTAGCTCTTTTTTTTTTGTGTGTGTAGAGGCATGCCAATTGTAATGCATGAACAATCCGTTAAGCTGCCCAAGGCTGCCAAATATCAGCGTCAGTCCTGAAAGTTACCAATTATTTTTTATTATTAATTAATCTGACATTTTTTAATGTATGAATGAATTATTTGGTCAAAAAATGTCAAATAAAAAAGTGAAAACAGACATTGCAGTTCAAAAATTATGCCCAATGCTATGTCTTAAAATAAATCCTTTGCTTTCAACAACACAATTTCATTTTATAGCAACTCAAACCTCAGAACGCCGCATTTGAGCTGAAAGAAGCATTTTTTACATTCAGCCTGCTAACGACGTCATTTAACTTCAAGTGTTCACTATAACAGTGAGATTTCTAATTTCTTTGTGTACATTTTGGGTAGAATTTTGTATTTGCGTTTT